TTTCTTCTCATCCTCTTTACCTGAGGCAGGAACATCTTGAAACATCCATTCTATTTGCTGCTAGCTTTCATTAACTTCATCCATCCCTGAAGGCGGAGCCACATTGGTGCCAGCTAATTAAGACCTATTTAGGGCAGCTCAGAGTCCTTTATCAGCCCAGAAATAGCTTTGTTCTTTTAATGGAGGCTATAGCTTTCTCAATTATTACTTAATTAAATAATGTGCCTATATTTGCCAGTATATTTCTAAAGTGAAATGCAAGCTGCAGTTGCCCACCTGCCTTGGGAGGAAAACAGAGTATCTCACATTGTCTTTCTATTGCTTCTCCAGAAGTTAATATTCCCTTTGCATCTGTAAGTGCTAGGCACATAGTCACATTCTTCAATGTTGAGTGTGGCGCCATGTGCCACTGTCAGCTCTGCAGCACCTCCAGGGTGTTTCAGTCTTAAGATGTATTAATGCAAATGTGTAAATGTCAGCAGGCTAATATTATTTATGCATACCAATCAGTCCAAGCAGAAAAAAAAAGATAATTTGGTCCAGATTGTTTTGAATATAAGATCTTTAGTTCCAAAGGTTTACAGAAGAAATAAAAATTATGTAGAATTCACAATTCTTGTTTTCCAGAAATATATTTGGTAAGTGAAAATATAAAGGTGGCCACTACCCAACTGACCTAGAATTCCAAAGGAAACTGGGTCCCAGAAGATGAAGACAGAAAGGTCAAGAAGCCTTCTCTTTTTGTTCTCTTATCCTTTCCCACAAGGTCATCCTCTCTAATTGACAAGCCAAATAATTACAGAAGTAACTGATAAGAAAGCAAATTAAATTTCATTTGGTTTGAAAAGGCAGTCCAATATGCTTGTGAGCTGGTCTAAACTTATTCCAAGGCATTTAACAGTGTACACATTTCTTCTACTACTTCATGTTTCTTCAATGAGGAACCCCTTAAGACAAAAAACACAATTCCTGCAAAATTGAGAAGACACCTGCCTTACATGGGAGGGTTATATTTTTTAAAAAAAGAATTTTGACAATTTGAAGAAGCAAGCTGAGAAGTAAATTTTTCTTTGAGGAACTCCATGTAATCATTTTCCTATCATGAATCACTTTAACTACTAGTGACATATTTTTTTAATTCTATAAATTATCCATAATAATGGTGACATGATCTCTCCATTAAAATGTGATGATAAAAATGAGTACTTGCTAAAAAGTTCCAATAAGTACAGAAAAATCAAGCAAAGTAGCTTTACAACAAAAGTAAAATTAAATGGCCACCACTTCTTCTCTATTCCCTCATGCTTATAGTGATATACACCACTTAACTTACTCGTATTTACTTAGGACAAAAATGTTAACAACTTTTTTGGAGGGATCCAACCAACACACACTTTGTAAGCATAGACCCACATGAATGCTTGCCATTAAAATGACTTCTTTGATGCAAAATAATCTTAAAATGTTTACAGTAATTATATTGCTCATTGTGCTGTTATTCTTATTCTAAGATTGCTGTGTGTGTGTTGTGGAATAAAACAGATGAATAATTACACTGGTGTCTCTGGGACCGGTGATTGTCAGTATAGTAGAAAGAAGAAACAGATGTAAGATAGATGTTGCAAAAAAAAAAAACCTGGTGGCTTGGATTTGAATTGAAAGTTTCAGTTTGAACTCATAATGTTAACTACTAAAAGGAACTGAGGTTCTTTGGAGAAATGCCTGAATCCAGGTCTGCATCAGGATATGTCCAAAAAACCCTGAAACATCTTGTAATATCAGGAAGCAAAGGATCTATGCCACTAAGGGCACAGCAAAAGGACTCAAAGGCAATTTGAAGAGATTTCCAGAGGCCAAAATGAGGCAATATGAGTATAAAGATATAATTGTAATTAATTGAAATACTTCAAATATGTTTAAATCTATAAGTTAACATGTAAATATTAATAACAATAAACTTACTGGTTACTTTTGGAGGATGCAAGGGAACTATGCACTAAAGCTAGTAAATAAAGAGAAGGGATCAGTAATGTCTTCTATCTCATGGTAACTCAATAGTTAATGAAAGTACATTTCTATGTATAAAGCATATCAGCTAATAAATGAAAAAGATATGATGAAATGTAACCATTTTGCAACCCGAATAAATTATTGGATCTAGACAATAATCACTAATGTCTTTTGAGAGAAAAAGAGAGAAAACTAGAGAGTAATTCTTCTGACAGAAGTATTACCTAACCATCTTGGCAAAAAAATTAGACCTGAATCCAGTCAAGCCTCAACAGAAATGTAGAAGAAATATCATGGGGATGCAATTAGCAAATCTAGATTGTGGAAAACTCTGTAAGACAAATGCCTAGGTTTCTTCAACAATAGGGGGAGAGAGAGAGAAGGAAACAGCCATACAGGTTTAGAGACATACAGGAAACATATCATTCAGTTGCAATGAACGGATCTTATACTAATCCTAATTCAAAGTAGCTGTTTAAAAATATATTAATGAGACAATTGGAAAAATTTGCAAACTGACTAAACATGTAATGATATTAAGGAAGTATTGTTGATTTTTGTGCAAGACAATGGCATTGTATTTTATTTTTAAGATTTTTTATCTTTTAGAAATATTTATGAACGAAATGATATGATGTCTGAGATTTGCTTCTAAAAAATCCTTGAGGGGAGAGAAAGTGTGTAGGGGTATAGATGAAACAAGATTGGGCATGAGTTAATAATTATTCAAGCTGAGTGGTGGCTATACAGAGGTTTATTACGCCAGTAGTCTCTCTGCTTTATAAGTTTGACATTTTCTTCCATGAAAAGTTAAAAAATATATACTTGTTTGAAATTTGGCAATGAATGTCAGATCACCATGGGAAATTCTTACACAATAAGAACACACAGCTTTAGCACAGCTAAAGTCAGGATATAGATTTAAATTATAATGGACACAGTAGCCTTTGAGGTCACTTTGGCCAACCTTTGTTATCCAAACAGGTTCTACTTAAATCACCCATCCTGCCTATTTCTAACACATTAGCATAGTTACATTTTCCTTTCTGATTGTAGCACTCAGTGAAACAACCGGAAAGGAATGCACTCAGGAAAAAAAAGAGTGCATCACAAAATCATTTTGGCTTTTTTTACTTTTATTTTGTTAACTCTACCAGTTGAGCAATACCTGCAAATTAATTTTACCAAATGGGCAAAATTACCAAGTAATTTTCCCACTATACAAACAGCTTTCTTCATCACAGCCAGTAGAAAAATAATCTCCCAGGGCTATTCCCTTCCCATTCTTATCGCACAATCTACACATCTGTGATGCTGTTGTCTCCCTGAAAGCTCACAGCAAAAGCCAACATGATATAAACACATAAAAACATGAACCAACAGCATGCTAAGCTCTTCTCTGATACCTCCAAATTATTCTAGGGCTTACGGTTATGACTGGGGGATACCCTGAGGGATAACTCTAATGAAAATCCAATACATCTAGTTAATTGCATTGCTCTGGGCTAGTGAAAGACCAAAAATTCCCCAAACCCCTTGAGAATGGTCATATTTATATAGAATGGTAATACATGGGAGCGTATTTCTTTGAAGCACCATACCGAGTCCTTTTATCTCAACTGCTTGCCTCTTTGGACAGTTTATGCTACTCTGATTCAAATCTAACCTTTGGGATTCTTCTTGCTAACTCTAACCAGTAGAAAGGCACTAGTACTATGGCTATTTCTGTCTTACATTTCATATGAAGCCGTACATTTTTGGTACTCAGAAGTAGAAAATGCTAAATTCAAATCAACCCACATTATCAATAGGAGAGTTAGCCCAGCTAGGATATTTAAGTAATTATCAGTATTCAAATTATATCCAGAGGTGTCAGAAATGCCTCCTCCTCACCACACACACATACCTCAATATCGTTAAAAGTTTCAATTTGATAATATTGAATAATGAAAGATACACACTTTGAGGAAATCAGAATGCTAATATTAGAACTATAGCAGATGCTCAATTTATCCATGCTATTCCACAATTAAGCAACATTCACAAATAATTTAAAACTTTAGCCATTGCTTTCAATATCTTCCTTAATTCTTTATTACAGCTAGATACATGAACCAAGAGCAACTGATTTGTAATTCCCCTTCTCTCCATTATGCTGCCATCTTTCTAAACGGGGGAAAAAATGGCAGGCAATGATACAGTTATATGGGAGATGGGGAGCTGGAGAGGGAGCATAGAGTGGAAGTAGGAGAAGGAAAGTGAAGGAAAAGAATGAGCCAAGCAGGACTCAAGAAAAGGAAGAGGGAAGGATGGTCCACAGAATGCTGCAGGTAAAGGAGATGTGATAACAAAATGCAAATTGGTTTTTGGATAATTGAGTGAATGGTATTTATACCTCATTTCTCTTCAAGAATCTAACTGCTAATGATTTTAAGTGATGTATAATTTCAATATGGTCTTCTGCTTAACAAGTTAAATACCAAGTTATGATGTTCAAAATCACAGTGTCTATTTGCATGCAAGAAGCTATGTAATCTTATCAGAGAATCGATAGCCTGTTCTGTTTGTGGTCTCAGGTAAAATTTTGCCAGAATTTTCAGAAGAGTTTAGATCTCTGCATAATCCTAAAGATCCTTAAGACTTCTCTGTTTTGAAACAGAAATGTGTAGACTTCCTCTTTCAGCTGAAATCCAACTTAATCAACAGCAAATGGAACTACACAAGAAAAGATCTAAAGATATCTTGACAAAGTATCCAGTGTTTTTTGGAGCCTCAAGCCAATCAAAGTGGAAATAATGGAAGGTAATATAGGTGGAAAAAAAATGGGACCTCACTGCTGGCTCATCAAGGTTTCATAATAGCCAAAAGCATATAATAATCAGTTTAAAAAATAACTCTGTTCATTTGATAGCTGGAAAAAGGACTCAGCAAACATTTAGCATGAAAGATAATAAAAGACAACGAGTCTGCTTTATTTAGAGAGGACTCACCTGTCTTTCCCAGTTTCTTTCTTAAAAACTCCATCACAGTAACTCATGCGCTTCTCTGTGGTCACATAAATTTGGGCATTCGGATAGACTTCAACTGTCTTTTTCAACATGTTGTAAACGATGCCATTGCCATCTTTCCTCATGTTGCGGAAAGGGCCCCAGATAACATAAATAGTAGTGTTTGCTTCCTTGAAAAAATAATCAGGGTTTTTCAATAAAAGAGGAACACTGGTATGGGATACAACTCGAATCATTGTCATGCGGCCAACATCTTCTTCATAACCTTTGGTGGGGGCATTGTTCATTCTCCAAATGCAGGAAGATCGATCTATCTCATTTCCCACTTTCTGGCCAACCATCTGACCTGAGTTTGACACTATGGCACAAAGCTCACAGTCCAGTTGCAAAGGCTGAAAAACAGAGAGAGAAAGAAAGCAGGGGAAGAAATATGTAAATTAGTAAATTCCACCTACAAGTTCCTCTGGGAAAACAAAAAGTTCAGATATTGTGTAATTGCTGAATATGGAAATACCTCTGAAGTACATATATATATATACTTACATACATACATATATAATATACATATATATATATAAATATATATTAATCCTATAGTCTCCACTATAGGTTATCAAGTTAGGGGCATGCTTCCATTAAAAAAGTAAATACGTACTGTTAAAAATAATTTTAATTTCTACAATCCCAATGTGTTGGTTTAATACTATATGGAAAAATAGTCAATTGTTTTCTACCCTAAATGATATATTTTTTAATTCAGAACTGTAATTTCAGATGAAATAAGAAAATATGGAAAGATTTGATCACCGTAATGTGATTGGTTGCTATAAAAGAAATGCAAAGGAAATATATCCAGGCATCAATTCTGTATTTTACTTACATGCATGAATGGTTATGTAGCAGTTGATAAAAATATGAAAAGTTCAACAAATGAAGAGGTTCTGGAAAAGATTTTCAGAACCCAGAACTACTTAAGACAAGTCCCAGGCTAGCAAAAATATTACAGAGACCCATCAAAAACTCCCTCAAATAACCATGTTAATTATGTTTATTCTAGATGAATAAGGAAAGGCCCCTTTTCAGAACCCAGGGAAGGCATGTACAGTCTCTAGAGCTGGTCTAAGCCCCCTCCTCCCTTTCTATTTAACCACAGAGGTAACAAAGACTCATAGGGGTAGACTCAAATCTAAATCTTCTAACTGTAAGCCCACTGCTCTTTTCATTATTCCCTGCTTTCTTTCCTCCTGAAACAACCATAAATTACTTTTGCTGCTTCTCTCCCATGTAAAGAAATCAGTCTATCTTTTAAAACAGTGTTAAATAAGCAACATGTTTTGTTGATATATATCTTTCTCATCTCCCTTCTATGAGATTCCACATTTTGTATCTGATATTTGATCCTGAATTTTTATTGTGCCTATTGGTGAGTAACTCCTCGCTCATTGGGTACTGTCCTTATTTTACTTATTATGTTGTACTTTAATTTATTGTTTAATTATGTCTGTCCACTAAACTATAAATTCTGTAAGAACAATGTCTATCTTCTTCACTTTAACCCCCCTCCCCAGAAGTCCGTGGGATAAATTAGTAGCTTGGTTGGTTAAGGTAGAATATAAAAAGAACTGGATTAAAATAATTACATTGGGAAGCAAGGTACATCAAAAAACATCAACTGGATAATCATTATACAATGGTACCAGATCTTTCCTATCAGTGACAGATACTCGCAGTAGTTACTGAGCACCTACAATGTGTCAGGCACAGTTCCAGGGATTAGAATCCAGCTGTGAAAATCATAAACAAAAATTCCTGTCTTCATGTAACTTACATTCAAGTTGAGGGGAGTCGAGAAAAGCAATACATAAATTAGCATACTATAAAATATGTTAAATGCTGATGAGTACTAAACAGAGAAAATTGAAGCAGGGAAGGGGGTCAGGAAGTATGTGCGTGTGTGTCTGTGTGTGTGTTTGTGTTGGTGGCATGATCAGAAAAAGGCCTCACTGAGAAAGTGATATTTGAGCAAAGACGTGAATGAAGTCAAAGTGCTAGCCGTGTGGATATTTGGGGAAAACCATTCCTGCAGAGCAAAGGCAAAAGCCAATGCAAATACCCTACAGTAGGAGAGGGATGATAGGAAGAGCAATGTGCCCAGGAAGAGCCAGTGAGGAGAGTGAGTAGGCACTGAAGCCACAGACATGCCAGGGAGAAATCACTTAGGGCCTTTGGCTTTCTGTGACATGAGTAGCTGCTGAAGGGCTCTGGACAGAGAAGTGACTGATCTGAGTTATAGTTTAAAGCTTCGGCTGCTGTGTAGAAAGTTGATTGAAAAAGAGGCAAGCGTTAAAGCAGAGAGTGCAGGCGACTGCTATAATCCCAGAGGATGGTGGCTGGACCGTGTTGAGTAGCGAAGGAGATGGAGATGCTGCTCATGTTCTCTGACTATCCTGAAGGGAGAGCCCACCGGATAACTGCAGCTTTTCAGCCTAAGCAACTAGAAGACTGGAACTGCCTTTAACTGAGAAGGAGAGGAGACTTCAGGAAGAGAGGGTCAGGGGAAGAAGATCAGGAGCTCATTTCCAGACCAGTTAGATTTAAGATACCTTGAACACAGACTCTCGAATCAAATGTTGTAACAAAACTACTCAAACTGCCTTAAGAAACCTTTTCTCCCTGATTGTTATAAGTAATACGGGCTTATCATGGAAAACTTGAAAAATTTTAAAAAAGAATAGAAAAAGTGATAAAAACTTTCCATATTCCCATTACTTGACAACACCACACATATTTTTGTCATTTTTTTTCTTTCTACATGTGTTATGTTAGGTTGAGAAATACCATTCAGGCAATTTGGCAGCCTTGGTTTTTCACTTCGTTTCATATCGTTAACCTTTCCCATGTCAGCAAATAGCCCTTGCAGGTAGTTTTAATGCCTGCTCAATATTCCATTGTATGGATATACCATAAATATCTATTTGCCTACTGCGGGGCATTTAGCTATTATCTGTTTTTTTTTTCTTTCTACTATACAAATGTGCTTTGATGGACTTTCTTGTGCTTCCTGATATATTTTGGATGCTAACAGTTACTATGTTATTTTAAACTAATTTCTTTGATTTAGTTTTTATTGTGCTTCTATAAAATATGCTAGACTGGCAAAGGCATCTGATTATTTGAGATGTCAAAAATGAGCATTTTGAAAACTTGATTTGCAGAAGTCCATTTATGAGGTGTCTTAAAACTGCTATCAAAGGGGCCGTCAATCATCCCTGCCACTATAAGCTTTCTGAAGTAAGTTAAGCAGCAGGTGGTCCAGGCCCCAGGTTAGAATAAGTCCGTTTAAGGTAGGTGAGTATCTCAGGACAAATGGGGTTTTGTAGGTTGGTGCCATCGTGAAGACAACATCAACGACTGACTGGAGGCACCAGGAGATGCCTGTTGGGGTTAGGTGTTGATCTACCATTCCTTATCTTCTTAGGAGCCTACATTCTTTCAAGCAATAAGGAATAGCATACTATTCTTCCTGCCAGGCGACTCTTAGCTGAGTTCTCCAAATTCACTTAGTCATGCAAATCAGTGCCTGATTTAAATTGTGTGTGTCATATGGCACACTCCAACTTATCACCAAGATGCATATGGTATAGGGAGGTTACATTCCATCTACTGTTCCAAGAAATTGTTTCATTTTATAATAAAAACACATTTGGGGTATAGCCTCCACAAATCTAAAAAATCAAAAAGAAGAAAAAAAGAAAAAGCTTTGGATGTGTTCTAATCTATAAAATGCAGCAATTTGCATTGAATTTCCCAGTCATTATAGTGAATTAGCTGGTTCTGCTGTAACAAGGCTTAATTTAACTAATAAGAATCAGCATACTGGTCTCACTTGACAATTGTAACCTCTGAAAGTGATCAATTAAGACATCACAATCTGTTTCACGACAACATATTGGGATGCCACAGCTGTGCAGATTATGAGGTCAGCAGCTAACTAACAACTTGAGGGCTAACACTAGAAAGAACAGCCTCTTGTTCATGTGGCAAATGTGTCATTCGGCAGAACACTATGAATGGAATGGCTTTGGGGGTAGATGATGATTTTTAAATTTCCCCTTTCTTTTTTACTATTCACTTGGCCCTACTCACCATTGCCAGAGTCTTAAGAGACTTTCATGTGTCTATACTTGTTAGTCACATTCCTATCTAGCTATCTGACTTTCTGAAGAAGGTACCCAGAGACGTGGCTAAATATGAGGATTGCTCTATTTACCACTGAGTTGCAGGAGCCATTTTTAAAGTATGACAGGAGCACAGGGCTGGATGAGTGAAACATTCCTAATGATAATCAGAAGCTTCAGGTAGCACAAAGAGCCTGCCAAGGCCCAAGGGACTCATTTACACATTTGAAGGCACCTGCAAACTATAGTAAGCCATGATGAAAAGAAAGAAAAACCTAAGCACAAATGGACGGTTTGACCCAAAAGATGCTCTTATCTAGTTATCTCAGTTTCTTTTATTAGCTTTATCTTTTGATCGCAACTTTCTTTTTTACAATGCATTGCTATTTCTTGAACTCATTTATATTATTTGATTTGGGGGCCTTGCTTGAAAATGTATTCCATGTGTCTCTACTCACACTGTTCAGCTTCAGTAAGCAGTTACTCTTTCTTTCTACATTGAAGCCCTGGATTTTCCAAGACCTTTGTTAACATTTATTTGCTTCCATTTTGTCAAGCCCCATCTTAATTTTGAATTCTCCTTTTTAGTTGAATTATCTCTATTTGTTTCTTTTTATTAAAAACAAACTTCTCCACTTTATCCTGACTCTTGTACACTAAAAACATCCTTGAAAACAACCTGTCCACTCAAAGCACTTTCACTGGGTTTGAGCTGTGTCTATAAACTGAGAGCACCACAAGTATTCAGCCGACCCTATCTGGGCAGCTATGTCCCTGTCAAAGAAAGCTCACAAATGTCAAATACTTCCTTTTATTTGACATCTAAAATATTGATTATTTTTTAATGGTAACAACACTATATTTGTTTTGGGTATTTTCTCCCTCTACAAAAACATACTACCTCGATACCAACATAATTGGTTAGAAACGCTCAGCTTCAGAAGAGTTAAGAATGTGGTGATATCTATTGAACAACCAAATAATTTTGTGCAAGGCACTATCAAGGGTAAAAATTTTACAATTCTAATCAGTGTGAACTTAATACACAGCTCAGAGGTACGTGGGGCAGTTTTGTGATCAACTGGGGTCAATTCCTATGCTGTTTTAGAGGCCTGAGAGACTGCCTTGAAAAACAAATCATTTCTCTGCTAAAATGAATCTTGACATTTTGCCTCCTTACAGGAAAAAAGGGCTTGATTCTTGGCTAGGGAACA